TTTTAGATAAATAGATAGATAGATAGATAGATAGATAGATAGATAGATAGATAGATAGATAGATAGATAGATAGATAGATAGATAGATAGATAAAGAGAGAGAGTAAAATTGGAGAGGGGGGAGAGGGGTTGGTGGGAGAGAAAGAAAGTGTGTGTATCCGTGCTCATGACTTTGTTTGTGACAGGTATAAATACAAGGTGATCCTAAAAAAACTTTACAACTTTTTTCGTAAATATTTTCCTACTCCACACTGAAGCTTTCGTCTTCAAATTTGAACACAATATTCCTCATTCAAAAGGAATTTGACTGATATTCACTTTAGATGATTCCACTAAATAATTCTGCAGTATAAGCGCATTAAAAAATCAACTCATTAAAAATTTTTGTGTGTGCTTTTGTTCCCTTTTATTACACTACGCTCCAGTACGCATTACCACAACATGTCGTTACAAATTCTGGACGGATCTGGGGAGACACCGGTACTTGGATCGCCAACACCAGTGGTTCATGCAAGACGGGGGCTAATCCACACGTTTCTGTCGGATCAATGACATGGCAAGCTGAATGACCTTATTATGCAGTTGCAAGCGCCGTAAAACTCTTTTAAAAACAAGAACAAAATGGCTAGTTGAGCACTTTGGAGATCATGTGATCAGTCGCATAAGTGAACACATTCGGGCTCCGCATTCTCCTGACCTGAATCCTTTAGACTTTTTCTTGTGGGGCTAACTGAAGGGCAGGATATTTCAAAACCAGTTTGAAAACATTGAGATTATGAAACAAGCAATCCGTGATGAAGTGAGAAACATTCCGCGGGAACTGTGTTTGTCCGTCATCGAGCATTTCAAACAACGCGTTAAAAGATCTTCGGAGTCCAAAGGTGGACATGCGGAGCATTTGTTTTAGGAATTCCAGAACAAAAATGTTAGTTCTTTAATTCATAAAAGAAATTAAATATTGTTTAATGTCATAAGGTGGGAACAATTAAATGTTATAGAGAAAAAGAAGACAAAAATCAAATAAATCGTCTCATGACTTTCTTTGCGAGAGTGTCTTTGTTAAAATTGGCGCATTTTGCGTTTTGGGGTGTTTTTTTCTTATGATTTTTGCCTTCTGAAAAAAAAAATTCTGTATGAATTTTATGTCAAGCAAAATTCTTTTGAATGAAGTTTATCTGTTCCGAATTTCATCTTTCTAGAACAACATTTGCTCGAGATATTTAGAAAAAAAGTTGTAAAGTTTTTTTTTATCACCCTGTACATTAGTGCGTGAGAGAGGGAATGAGTGCATGTGTTTGTTTATTTGTGTACGTGCACGTGCGCGCGCGTGTATGTGTATGTGTGTGTGTGTGCGCGTATGCGCGCGTGTGTGTTTGTGTATGTGCTTGCGTGTGTGTGCGCGCGTGCGTGTGTGTGTGGGTGTGGGTGTGTGTGTCTGTTTGTG